TCGCGGCGTTCCCTCTCCCCCTCCTCTTCGTCATCTGCTCGTTTTCTCGACGACCTGCACGGCTTAACCCCGGTGCAGTGGTCTCGAATCGAACTCTTTACACCCTTATATTAACGCGGGCGATATAATTCTTCCACGGTCAATTTTTACTAATCACTGATCGAAATCAAACGAACCACTCAATGATAATAATAATACAAGAAGGCTTAAAAGAACGAGACAATACCTCATTTATCGAAATTACTGATCTCAAAATAGTCTCAGTTGTCCACGAATCAAAACTAGAATTGTTCCAAAACCACATCTCGATAAAATTAACGTAAAAAGGAAAAAACAGTGAAAAATGGAGGACCAAGTGGTCCGCTGACGCAAACTACCGAGCTATGGAGGAGGTTTTTTAGGCTGTCGCTGGAACCAGCGACGAGTTAAGAGGGTAAATGGCCTTAAGGTCGTGTCGAGCGAGAATTCGAGGCGAAGCAAATTTTATGTCCGAGGCGCGAGCGAACGAGCAACGTAATTGGATCGATATTACGGGGCCAACTTCGTGCGCCGAGAGCAGCCTGGCAATTTCAATTTTGAATAGCAATCGCCCACTCGCTACGTGATACGGGAATACAAAAAGCACGGCCGAATTTTCACAATTGATCGAATCATGGCTCCAGCCGCCGCCGGAATCGAATCGCGCGCGAACGGCGAAATTGCCCGTGAACGCGCGTCTGGTTCTGCCTTGTTTCGAACGGGCGTCGCGACGCTGATTGCGAGGATACGGGGAAACGTCCTTCGAGATATTACGAATTTTCGAAAAAAAAAAAAAAAAATAAAAACAACCCCGTCGATGCCTCGTAAAAAAATCCAATTACTGGGATTCTTCGACCTGCTGGGTTCCCCTCTTTATTCGTTGTTCGATATTTTTAATTTAGGAAATGGAGACGATGTCTCCATTTTTGTTTATAAATTATACTGATTTTGAGAAAACAGAGAGTATACATAAATGCACACGTTCGTGCATATTGAATTGTATTAGTAATGACCAATCATTAAACACAGATTTTGTCATATGATCTGACCAGGAAATGGCTCATTATTTGTTGTTCTTTCGTGTAGCCCTCCATCTTTAATAACCCTGTTATCCGTCACGCTGTCTTTTCCTTTTCGTCGCCAACACATTACCCGGGCAAATTTTGCGTGAATTTGAACAAGAGAATTTAATTTCGCGTCGGAAGATCAACAAAACAAGCTACCCCTTCGCGCGTTTGCTTTTGAATAAAATAGCCGGATTAAATTCGAATTAATTTAAGCGTTCGAAAGCGGAGGTCGCGCGAACGGACTCGAAAGGTATTCAAAGTATTGTATTTGCGAGAATAATTCGAGCGTGTGGAGTATGACCGCCGTGTCCACGGTGTTTTGGTAACTAGCGGGCAAAAGCACAGTTTTAACGTCTACGTCTAATTCAAGCTGTATTTTAGCGCGCTGATTACCCGCGGTTGCCGCGTACTTGCCGTTATTAACTCGAGATTTGCATACGACCTGCAGCTTACCGACACGCTAATTAATTCTCTCGTATGTATATCGCGGGCGGATGAAGTTCGTCGCGCAGACAGGAACAGCTCGCGAGACAACCGTATCGCGAGGGATGAAATTGACCACGAACTTTCGTCGATTTGACCGTACCGTACGAGTAATAAACTCGCTTTTCCCCTCGTAATTGATTGGAGGTGTGGCGAAGCGAGCTGTCCAGTCGAAACGCTGTCCGCCGTTGGCCATAAATATTCCACGCTCGATCGCTGATCGTCCGGCAAAAATAGCACGCTGTGCACGTTGGAACGACGCTTCCACCCCTAGCACAGTGGTTCCCGATCGTCCAAACAGTGATCAAAAATCACTTTCCTCGGTCTTCCTACAATCTTTTTCACCGTGACGGTCCACGAGTTGTTCGATTCGACGATACAAATCACGCTCCGGGAGTCCTTTCTGCTATTTTTCATGGATTTATTCATTATTTCACCCATCGACGTTTGGCAATTATGGGGTAAAATAAATGGTAGGGTCTAGAAGAGTATTGAAAGAATTTGTGTCAAAATTTGTGTCGAAACAGAATGAATCTTGGAGTTTTATCGGTGATCGGGGGGCGGTGGCGTGACACGATAACTTTTTGCAGTCGATTACATCGCGGATCGACGTGGGTGACGTCGAGGTAGGCCAATTAGTCCGTTTCGTTTCGTTTCGAGAGCCGAGGAATAAGCAGATCGGGGTTAGGCGGTTGCGTCACGCGAAAACATTGGCTCGAAGTACGAAGCCTGTAATTCGCGCAATTCCGCGGATCATTGGGTCTCGAGCAATCGTGTCGATCGTTACCGAACCGGAATCGGTAATTTAATGTCTTCACTGGTAGATATTCCGTCGAAGAAGCGATTTATTAATTGGTGCGGGGGTTCCTTCGTTCGTTTATTCCCTCGATTCTTATTTATTCGCAATTACATTAATTTCCACCCATCAAGGTTCATTCGGAAGACCGTTTCGATGTATCTTTTACAGTTTAATCGAGTCGTATTTTTAACAATTTCCCAAGCCATCGATACGCATACTTTTTCGAGTTTTTAAATATTGAATTGGCGCAACGATATTGTAATCGGATCTATATCGCGCAGGTTACACACGGCACGGTATCCGCGATTGCTTTTTTTCTATTTCAAAAAAAAAAAAAATGTTTCGCTTTTGCCGCAAAACTTCCCTACGTTTCTTCAAAGCGACGCGTCGAAAATGTTCAATATTTCATATTTTCGTTTTAGATGTATTCATACCGGACACAAAAGGACGTTTCGTTTCGAAGGTTCGTTTATTTTAATCGTTCAAAATACCTAGAAATATATGTACGTTTCTCTCGCCTTATTTTAAACTTCCCTGTTTAATTTAAATTTATTTTATATCGATCTATTTCAAGTAATCCCACATCACCAGATCATTTAAGCGTACGCACGCTATAAAAGCTAGCAAAACCAAAGAAATATAACACTTAAAGAACAGCAAAAATGTGAATAAATCAGGACCAGTGTAATTTTTTGTTCGTCCACGAGAACGTTGGTAAGTTGCAGCGTTAACAAAGCCTCGGATAACGGCAGATAAATTCCCAATTCCTTTGCGAACAACATCGAGGAAATCCGCGGAGAAAATCGCGATAAAAGTGGCGGTGTCCGATAAATCCAGGAGATTCCATTTGACCGGTTCGCTCGGCCGTCCTTCGCGTTCGATTTATCCGGCTGCGTGTGTCGACCGTGACGATCGTTGGGGGATGAAAGGAGCAAGGGATTACACGGGCAGGAGATATTGGTCAATCCCACTGGCTCAGCGCTAATAACCGTGGAACACGAAGACGAGTTATGACAGGTGGTGTCGTGGGTCGTTCGGTGGGGTGGAATTGCGCGGACGACATGTGCCATTGTTCAAAGCAGAACACTACCACCCTCGCCGCTGCCCCCCTTCCCACCCTCTCGCCGCCTGTGCGTCTTCTATTAGCGACGTGCAACCCGCCCCTCCAACCCCCCCCCCCCCCTTCCTCGAAGGTGCTGACGGGTTTCCCGTTAGCCCGCTTACTCCGTGTAACATACTGAATCCCGGTTACGGCACACGCTTCATTGCTGGCTTAAGGTAACGGGACATCGATAGTTGACTCTGCAAGGTAGATACACCACCGGTGGACACCTTCCAGAACCTGTCACACGGAAAAACTAACGCGTTTCCTTCGATTCTTATTGCTTCGTCGTCGGTAATCAATTCACACCCTAAGAAGCTCCTCTTGAATTTTTATACTTTGGAATTTTTTGGAGGGTAAACAGGAGAATATTTTCGTATCAAGTTCGAATCGTATATTCAGATCTATGTTTGGAGAGTACCCACAATTTTTTGCGTAGAAAAATGTTGGATAATTTAGAAATTACGCTTCAGAGAATGAATTCTGATTATTCGTACGGAGCTCCTTGGAAGAATTGTAGGACGTTTGCTAAGTCGTGCGTCGATTGTTCGAATGGACTGTGAAACGTCTTAAGATTAGCATCTCCGGCCATCCTTTTTAAGATTTCCGAGGTGTCCGAGTCGTTCCGTGGGGCGGAGTTCACCGGGTAGACAGTAAAACGCGACCCCGTCTCGGAATAATATCGGCGTTAAAGGCCAATAATCGTAAACGCTGGCGACGCGTCCTCCCTTTTATGAATGTAAGCGAGGCGGACGACGAGCGTATACTAAAAGGCCACACGCAGCATCCAAGGAGCGGTTTCACGACGGGCATATTTCCGCCGCGGTGTCGTTGGCTATCGATCCAGAAGCGACACTTTCAGGAAACGAGGGTGTAAAAATGCTCGTTCCAATTTCGAATTGGCAGTGATTCCGATTCAATCGAACAGAGAATGCTTATCGTTCTTAAGCAACAATGTATCCCCGAGCTCAGGTATTATTCGTCGAATAATTTCGACGCGATTTGCAATCCAACCCCAACATTGATCCACGCGTGAAATTTATTAGAGTTAAATTCATATTTCAAAAACACTTGGAGCACATAAAAACTCCAATTTTACACGATTCTCCGAAGTTAAAACCAGCATTTTCCAGCGTCGAAGGATCAAAGAATGTACCAGGGTCGTGCGTGTATTGATTACCCCGACGCGTTCCGGTCTTTTTCGTCGACATCTTGGTTCGAGCGTGTCCCTATCGACGAGCCCTACGCGGTGGTGTCTCGAAGCGGCGTAATTATGGTCCCCCTTTGCAAAGTTCCTCCCTTTGCCACTCTCTCCCCCCGGGAACCTGGAATCGATTCGATCCTGCTCCGGGCACGTATCTCGCTAATCGATGCGAATCGCGTACCGCGCGGAATCTCAACTAGGAAGAATTCAGCCGTGCTCGATAATCGTCGCGTAATCGCCGATGGCCGGGCGAATCATTAACCCCCTCGTCGCGAAATATTAACGCGCCGCGTGACGTTCTTCTAACGAGTACCCTTGTTTTTTCAGGTGGCGATAGCGGCACACTGTGGGGGCTAAGGTGGCTGTCGCGGAGGCTGAAGCAGTGGCGAGGTTGGTGAAAATCGGCGCCGGGAGCGGACGATCCGGGCAGCGGTAGTGGTGGCGGAACGGCAGGGGTAGGTTTACTCATTCGTAACAGTAAACCATTCTTCCGTTCATTAATTATATAATTTTTCACTGTGTGATCTTCTATCGATCTCATTTAAATCGTTATATCCATTGCTACCTTTGCTCGAGTGCTCTAATGAGTATTTCCCGTTCACCAAACAACAAATAAATAATTTCTCGTTCGTACACGTTCACCACACGCGTTTCATTAGTCGATTCCAAACGGAGACGTTCGAACAGTTTGTTCGAGCAGCGGTTACAGGGAAAGTAGATCGAGTCCCGATTGAAATAGCGGAATCGTCCGATAATATCGGTCGGGCCATCCCGAACGTCCGATATCCCTGTCCCTCGCTATCCGTCGAGCCTCGAGGCGTCGCGATCTTCGTTTTCTCGTCGACATTAGACCCTGGCAGACGTCGAACGAGCCCGCCAGGCCAGGGAAAGCCGGTTGCACGTTCCAGGCGTCGCTGAAGGGGGCATTCGCGGCGAGCAATCGAACTCTTATCGGACGATTGGAGCACGGTTCTCGGCGCTGGTAATCGGGTCGCGATAAGAATCGACGGATTAAACCGTTCGTAGGGGGTGGGTGGATCGATTAAGGTATTATCTCGCGGTATTATGCCGCGTTCGTGACTGTGTCGCTCGATTAACGCCGCGCGGATGGATAAAACGGAAAAGAAAAAGAGAAAACGGTGCCCGAGACGCACGGTTATCGCGGCTCGAATTACGCCTGCCTCGGGATTAAGTAACCGTTGCTCGGTGCAAATTGAAAATACCGCGATCCGATAACGAGAGGGGACGCACCCTCTGCTATTTATCAGCGACGCTGATTACTAGCCCCCGGGAAACGTGTAATTATATTCGAATACGCGATTACAGGAACCGCGGCCCAATTGAAACGGAAACGCGCTTCGCTATCACTTTTTCTAATTGTTAATAAATCGTTGCTCGCGTGCCCGGGTCCGACTCGCCGTTGCGTGCCCTTCGACCGTCGCTTGGTATCCTCCGACGAGGCTCGTAGGAAGATCTAATCGCGCCTAATTGAAAAAAGAACACAGCTTTTAACTCCGACGCGTCGTTTGTTTCGTTCTCTCCGCCGGAAATAGAAATTGTTTTCGTTGTATCGTAACGTGCAAACGTTGGGGAATCGTGCCGAGTATTTGGTAATTTCATTTTCGTATTGTTAGTTCGAGAATCGTCGTACGGAATTCGATTTCTCCGTGGTCAAAGGGTTGCTCTATCCCCCTTGAATTATTTACGCTCGGTCCACCTGATCGAATCCTGGACTGCCTAAGCCGGATAACACGATCGTTTATGATTTACAGGTACTATGGGAGCGGGGGTATGGGGGGCGGAGGAGGGCTACAAGCCACGGACCTCCGGCGAAGGCTCGAGTCCCGGTGTTCAAGAAGCACTCTTCCCCAGAGCCCTCGTTCCTTAAGGCACGATGGCTCCTGCTCGACCCGCAGGAATACGCGCGACCAGGAAGAAAGGTGTGCAACTATCGAATCCTTGGAATTTTTCAAATCTCGATATCGAAATTACGATCTGTCATCGGTGGTTGGAAATCCCAAAAATACGATTTAAAGTGTTTCTTCAAATCACGTTGTTACAAAGGTCTTTGACTTTAACTTTATGGTTTTGGTGTTTCCTGTCGCCGCGTATCCTTCGACAAACGGTTAAAGTTCGTTTCCACGGCAGGGTTGACTTGCAAGCGACCCTCGCTTCCGGTCAGCCCACGTGTACAGGTTCCCGGCCGTGCAGACGCCAAGAGGACGAAGAGAACGCAAACGAGAAATATGTGAGGCGCTCCAAAGGCGGAACCGGGCTGTTCGGTTCGCTGTACGGAAAGCTGCGGCTATCCGTCGGAAGGATCCTCAGCCATGGAGCCGAGGAGGAGGAGGGCGGCAACGGTAGGAGGCATCGACTTCGATGGTGTCGCAGGGACTTCCGGTGGATCGCAGACGTGGCGACGAGGACCCTTCTCATCGGTATCGTGCTTTTCGTCACGCCAGGTGAGGAAAACACACCGCTCTGTCGGCGGCCATCTTGAATCGACTTCGCACAAACCATCCGCGAAACTGTCCAATGTCCCTGATTTTGTTCATAATCTTTTGATCGACAGGAGAAAAGACACGGAGTTTGAACCGTGTCTGCCCCCTAATAGTATCGTTACTGTGATCTATCAAGATAACAGCGTGCGTGTTGTTCAGTGAATTTTCTATAGTAGTGGATGCATAGTTTGGGCTTCGGTGCTCGAGGACGCGTTTGTTTCATTACCGTTTTCCGGTTTCCCGGAGTTGTACATCAATTAGCAAGTCCCGCTAATCGGAACAAGTCTACCAGGTCACGATAATAGCTTTCCATCTTCTCTCAAGTACGATCGATCGATCGATGCTGGATTCACCGTGGCGTGGCTGGCTGCGCGTAGGTCAGAGCCGTAATGACGTCGATTGAGATCGAGCGAAGGGTTTCCGTCAAGATACCTCTTGCGATTGCTGATACGTGTCCGCGTCAGAGTATACAATTACGCGAATGCTCGGTCGTTCACTCGTGCGTACCGCCATCGATCCCCGCGACTCCAAACGATGGAAACGCTTTCGTCAAACTACGCATAGAAATCGAATCGACCGCCTAAATCGAACCCCGATGCAACGCTCTAACTTAATTCGTAAAGAGGAGATCGATAATTGTAGAAAAAGAAATCAGCAATTCCAACTATTTATTTGTCAAAGGGAACGAATGGTATCGCACTTGGCTCGGAGCTCACGACGCTACGCGATTTCTCACAGTTTTTTCCCCCCCGTTTGATTCTTTCAACGCGTCTGTCTTCGATGTGCTTGTCAACTGACGTTTCCTCGCGTTTTCCAACCGAACTCGATGCTCGTTTGTCACCGTGAGCGACGCACGCTCGCTACTGAACGAAATTTTAAAGAACTGTCGCGTGGAAAACGAATGGAACGTCGGTGAATGTCACGGAAAGTGACTTTCGGTTTTTTTTTTTCATTCGTTCCCATGCTTGTTTGTTCGACGAGTTTCTTCGTCGCGAAAAAGATAGAAAAATTCGAGCGGACTAGTAAGAAGCATCGTTGATCGTAAAAATGTGAAAATCGATCAGAGAAACAGTATCTTATTCCAATTATACGTACCTCCGGAAACGAGAACTAATTTCAAACGCAAACAATAAATTCCCCGCCGTTTCCGCGACGGTTAAAAAATTTTTGGTCGGAAATTTCCACCAGCGGGAGCAAAAAACGCGATACCGTCCGAATCAACGCCAGGCAGGCTCTCCGACAGCGAAGCTCGGAAAAAAAAAAATGAAAACAACCATGAAACCATACCATTATTTTCCCCGCACAAAGGTGCACTATTTTAACAGAAGCGGATTCAACGGCGCGTCGTCAAACGCGAATGTGCGTAGCTTTTTGCGTCCAAAGAATCAGAATGGTGTTGCAGGGAAATGCAATTGCTTTCAGAACGATGGCAGAAGGCTATACTGATTCCAGAAACTGGGACACGTGGCTCTTTTATAAGCGAAGATACGAACAATTGATACAAGAGAAAGTCCCCTCGCACTTGGTTGTTTTAATGGAACCCGTGCACTTTGTTTCACCTGAATCGATTTTTCAGATATAAAATTCGAAACTTCAGAGACGCGTATCGAAATATTCTCGAGCCCACTCGATTCTTTCCTCCCCCGGTTTTCAAACGGACCAGCTCTCGCGGCCAGCGAATGTTAAAATGAAAATTAATTACGCGAGTATAATTGCCACACAACCCGTAAACGCAATAAGAAAGGTAAAACGTTTAAACAGCTGCTGGAATAAATTCCTGACGTAAAATATGAAACGTCTGGTCGAGTGTTGCCATTTCAATGGTCCATACTTTAATTCTTTTATGCGTTCGATGACAAGAGCGTACCTCGAAGAGAAAAGCGAATGGTTTTATTTAAGGAACAAGTGCAAATACACATTGCACTTGCATCGAACAAAACGTTTATATCGTCGAAAGACAGTTCTTCTTCTTTCTTTACCTTTTCTAGAATCGTACCGTGGTCCGACCAGCGCGAGCGAGAGTATGTTGTAGTTCGCGGTTAATAAAGCACGGGTCTCGAAACGTTAAATATTTTCCCGGGGCACTCGAATACCTTTTGCGCGGTATTTCCGACGTGCCGCGTTTATTTACCACTGTTTCGAACGAGCGTAAAAATCAGCGGCGCACTTAACCGATTTACCAGAACGAGATGAATAAACTGACGTCAATGCGTGCTCGGTTCAAAGGATGAATATTCTGTTTTTAATACGCGAGGCGCTCTTACGATGCTCGTTAGCCTCATCAACGTGGAACAATTTCATTAAAACTTCGTCTTCGTTTTCCCCACCGAGCTCGTTTCCCGCCTCCCGCTAATGACGCGTTCGCGGCCACAGAAAACTATGAATCGATGCAACTTACACTCGCATTGTGTCCCTTTCGAGTCGGTAAACATTCGCGTTTCACGTTTTAAAAACCGCCGAACAATCCTTCGACTCGGTTAAAGTGCTCTTTTCGAGAGAAAGTTGTCAATTTTGATAAATTAATAGTATTTTATCCGGGGACTCTGTTGATATCTCGGTTCTCGCGATGCGAAGCTTTTCGACGTTCATTTTGTAAATTATTAATAACGTAAAAAGTAGTATTCTAATATACCCGGCCTCGCCGTTCGTTGTTTTGAAATATCAGAAAATTTGATCCGTACATAAACAATATACTTGATTAGCTTGCCCGTCAAGAGTGATATATTAGTGGCTAAAAGTGTCGTTGCATATTATGGTCCGGGGTTCATAGTATCTATACGCTTTATGAAACTGGCGGTCGTTAATCATTTCGTCATGAAAAGAGGTCGCGAGTGAAAAAAGTTTAAGAACCGCTGCTGTACGGATACTTCATAAGCGTTGTCCTGGCGCATAACCTACTTTCTTGCTGCCAAAAAACCCTTGCGAACTCTCGCATTTTTTTTCGATCTTCGACAGAAAAACTTGCACGATGCTCGAACTTCTCGCCTTTGGATTTTTGTAGATCTAATTAGAAATGTAAGAGCAGACGACTTCTTTTTTCGATGTTGCAATAATTCCAAGATTTACGCGTTCGTCCATATTTGTGTGAAGCTCAGCGTCTCTTTGAGCAGCCATGGACGAGACGGTTTATCGTACGATGAATAGTATGTCTAGTTGTAACGACACTTATATGGCAGCGTCGTGATGCCATTCAACACGATCTCTTTGTAAGGCTGTACAATAACCCCACACACTATACAATTATCGTTCAAACAGTCACGTCAACCGAAATTGTATAACGTATCGTGCGATAAATCGTTACGCTTATTGGCCCCTATCACAATCACAGTTAGTTATTCCGATCCGTAATACCGTACATCGAGCTTCTGAATGCACTACACTTCGTCACTTATTACACTTCGTTATTTACAATTCTCTTTCTTCGACGTCCTACGAATTTTATTTGTATTTGATCATAGAAAAGATTGTCAGACTCGAACGATATTTATTTAGAAGGATTTAAGATTACCAGAAGTTTTCTCAGATTACGAATTGGTCGATTTCGATTATTTTGTTCACTTATTTCCTGGCGATTTCGCTGAATCGTCGTCACCTAGGCGATCGTCGATAAACCAGATGCTCGGGCTGGTAAATTCCCGCGAAATTGGTAGCGTGGATTTCAATATTCGATTGTTTTGGCGGGTTGAATGCGCGACACGCCGGATGCGCCTCTCCGAGCGCACCCCTATTGGGACCAGCAAACTTCGAACCCTTCTATCGCCTCTGCTATTCTAACGCCCCGTACATCGAATACAATTCTACGAGATATATTGCCGAGGAATTCCCATCATCCATATTACCGGGTCTGCTTTCGAGCCATGTCGGTTCGAAACACTATAACTTTCGACCACAGCTTCTATTAAATCCATCTAGGTAATATCGAGAGTACAATACTGTAGAAAAAAAAATAGAATGTGATTTAAAGGATGCAAAAGACAGGCACGGTCCAATTTCGTTCGAAGCTCGAAAGAAAAATAGGGGAAAGGTTATTCTATTAATATCGACGCGAAAGAAGACCTCTGTACCGGACATTGTTTCCATTACAATTGATTGCCAAGTAAAGTTCTGCTAGCGCCGCGAGGCGATCAGTCCGGGGGAAGATTGGTTCGCGAAGCGGATGAATTTATCGCGAAAATGGCCCCGGACATAAGTAGAAAGTTGAAATGGAGGCAGACACGGCGAGAAGAATGCCGGGGAGCGAGGAGATGGGAGGGAAAAAAGGAATCGCGAGCGAAATTAGCGGGAAAAGTTGTTTAATATAGAAAGTTCGGCCGAGACAGGGCGAAGGGTGGACGAGGGGGCGTGGGGGTGGCTGGCAAAAGACGGCCATTGTGATCGCCACTTGCACGGCGAGTCGTCGTCTTCGTTTCGCCGGCAACTTTTCCCAGTTAATGCCCGTAATTTATTTATTTCCCAATTATTTTCCGGGCCCCTCTGAGAGTTTGCCGCACGCGAATCGCCCTTCGTCCCCTCCCTCCCTTTCCCTCTCCGTTCGCCGCGAATACTTAAATCGATCCAGTCCGACGAATGGACTCGCTGGTGCACGTAATTTCCTTGAAAAGGGCAGACACGCTTAAGACGCCCATTCTTTATTTACTTCGACCCCTGACTTTCCCGGAATCTTTACAAATTTCTAGATTTTTGTCAATTTTTTTACCGGAGGCTGTATTAATCCCTTGTACAACGTTTCGTAATCGTAAGGCTACTTACTTGTGATCGAGCGTTATACAGAAGTAGCATATGGGATTCAGAGATGGATTGTATAGAAGAAAACAATAACAAAAGTTCATATAAACATGTGTTCTATTCGACCCAGTTTTCAAGTTATAGCGAATTCTGTGTTGGAATAATTCTCTCTAAAGATGAGAATAGTTGAACTAATTCCATTCAACTAGTTATGAACAGAGCCCGGTATCTAACGTTGAATCTGTGAATACGTCAGACATAGAAACGAGATAGAAATTTATAATTTCGACCATACTCGAAGAAATGATCGAGCCAACACTGATGCACTTATCTTATTATGTGTAATATTGGGTCCTCGAATCGTACGTTAAGGGGCTTATTGATAAAGAAGGGTAAACTTGGCTGGCGTTTTGTTGCCGTCTGGCGTGTCGAGGAGGGAAAGACGTGAAATTACGTAAGCGATTGACATCTTCGACGAAAGTACGGTTGCCTCCGTAATGCGGCAAACTCGCGATCCCGGCGGCGTCGGTTGGCAAATTGCATTTCAGGCCGCGATTAAATTCCTCTCCGGATTGCAGAGGCCCGTGTCCGTGGAACGGCACATGGTGGCCATAAATTACGTCGCACACGAGGCATCCGCCGCGTGTTGGCGTCGAACGATTATGGTTTCTTCCTCGTAGCTGCGTTGAAAGCAGCCCAGATGGCAGGCGATGAAACGAGTTGCAAATGACGTTGTCCCGTCCCGGAGGGTACGTTGCCCTTGCTAAAGCCCGTTCCATACGGGGGAGAGAACGCGCGCGACACGACCCGCGATCGATCGAGCCGTAGTCAAAAGAACCGTAGTCGACTGCTCGCGACGCCGGATTCGAACGCGTCGGGACGCTTTCGTCGGCTCGGTGACCGATTAATCGCGAAGGTCGCGGTACCGCGATGCACCGCGGCTACCTTACCAACGGGGCGGGGAGGAAGGATATATTTACCCGAGGAGCACATCCAATTACGGTAAATAATTAAAATCTACACTCGAGGCGAAAGTTAGCGAGGACGGTAGAATGCTCGTTAACCCCCCGGTTAATTGCTTCGTCCGCGTCGCCTCTCGCGTGTGCGACGGGCTTAAGCATCCACAGGCTCACCAACTATTTACCTTGCACGCGATACACGACTTACGAGCCGATGGAGTGCCTGCTTAATTTCACGGTTCGTCGCTACCTGAAAATTCGGCCCGAGATGAGAATCTTCTCGCGCCCGCCTTGTTGTCCTCGACGTCTCCTCTGTCCCCGTAACCCTATCCTCTTCTCGACCAGCCTATCGTGTGTCCCGACTCCGCGACAACCAAACAATCTTATTTATTTCTGTAGATATTTTTATTCGAAACGCGATACTTTACCTATGGACGATAGACTATCGATCGATTGTCATGAAAATAAATGGAAATTATGCAGGACTTGCCAGGAGTGGCCAGGGTTTCTCGAAAGGCGGTTGCGTAATTTACGGTTTCCTCGAGCCGTGGACTTTGCGATCGTGGCAGATCAGAGCGGTCCGGCGAGCCTTTTCTTTTTCTGGTAATTCCCCATCCTCCGGGGCGCCGATGCACGCGTACGAGCGTGATTCCAGAGGCTCGCGTAGTCATTGTTCCGCGGACGAAGACAATTTCCACGGCGCTTTCACGCTCCGGCGAGCTCCCTTTGGAGAGTCTCATTTAGTTTTTTGGGCGGTCGCCCGCATCGCGCGCCCCCGGGGCCGTCGCGTCCGTCGTTCCCTCGGATTTTTCCGCTTTTTCGACGCCGGAACTCACGGCGTGTTGATAAACGGGCCATATGAAAGGCTCGAACACGGTCAAACGCGGCCTCCGTTTCGATCCCTATTGATTCCTTGTTTGTCTTCTGCTGGACCATTCCTGTTTCGAACAATCGTCATTTTCAAACTTTCGTTCGTTTCGCGACGAAAACCTTCATTTACCATACAAAGAATCGAGAACCATAAAAATTCCTGTATTTATTTTAATCGATCAAAAATATTACTTAAGTGTTACTCATTTTAGTTTAAACTTGTGGAGGGGTGCAGCTTAAGGGTTAATGTTTGAAAGAGAGTCCTTACGAAGCGTTTTCAAATTTCGCGTCGTTGCAGGGAAAAGTTCAACGATTCGTCGGGATCACAGTTTTGCTAATTGTGCGCCGACCCTTCGACCCGGGGCTCGCGAACCTGTTTTTCGCGATAACGAGGTGACCGCGGTGCGTAAACACGCCCCCGCTCCCGTTCCAGGCTGAAAGTTTAATGACGGTTGACAATAAAAACAGTTGCTCGAGAGACCGGGGGCCACTCCCAGCCAGGGTGATCGCGATAATGGCACAGAAGCGCTCGTTGGGCGTTCCTACGTTCGAATTATTATGCAGAATGCGTGCGGGGGACGCCGTAAGAGGGTTAAAGCGACGCAGAAACGTCGGTAAACCTCGATTTCCCGCAACCTCGATAATTTGCTTCTGTTATTAGCGACGCTGACGGGCCTCCGCGTTTCTCCTTGTCGCCGCAGGAATCGGATTTCGCGATCTGGGCAATCGATTTGATATTTACGACAGATTTTCGCTAATAAATTCAACGGTAATGCACAGAGGGTGAGGTGTAGTGCAGTGGAACTCGAAGTAATTTCGACCAGTTTATTACGCGTTCGCTGATTACTGCCTCAAAGCTGGACAGTTAAAATTCTGTTTAACGTGTTTGGGGGGAAACATACCGCCGATATAATTTATGGCGATGGAAAGTTTGGAACGAAAGTTTGATCGTCGACCAAACTCTGCATCACCGTTTGATACAGTGGTCGATCAATTTTCCATCAAAACTGCTGTACACTAGTCTCTCTCTAGGAAAATATAGAATATATAAAGATAATGTTTCAAGAAAAACGATCAACACAAAGAATTTGCTTTTACTTTCTAGATTATAGTTTAAATTGGAAATTCGATATTTGTATCCGGGTAAGAATTTCAGCCGTTTCCGCGACAGACGACGCGTACTCGCAGCCGTGTGTTTGGGGATTTATTACAGGCCCTTTGTCGCCCACGCGTGCGGAAAGGGACGTCATAAACCTGTCGTATTCGTACGCGACGCGAGTCAAAGGGAATAGGTATCAAAGTCAGATCCATTATTCGAATGGATCGCCTCGCGTCGCCGACCCTCGTTTCTCTCGCCGCGACGACGATATTTCCATGGTTTTCGCGGATGTTTCTGCCCTTTGATGTGAACTCGCGTCTACGCAGGAAGTATTTTATCCTCTGGAAAGACACAGCCGGTCTTCGCGTTTCAAACAATCGTACAGAATTGCCTCTGAAAAAGGGATCGTTAAACAACACCGCCTTTTACCGTTCCAAAAAATTAAATTTACAATAACACAATTACAGCGCAAAAAGATAACAGCGACGAAATATATCCAGTAGATTTTCAGGGATCTAAAGTTTCTGGATGTTCGAGAAAGAGCACGGTTCAGAACCGCCGTGACTCGAGCAATTTTTAAACTTCTAAAACTAGGATATTCCTAAACTTTCGGTACGTGTAAACAAAAAAGTCGGTTCTCCGAGCCCCCAAAAAACGGGAGCTCTTTAGCTCGGACGTTTAGCCCCCCGACTCTTCTTCGGCCACGTCGAAAACATCGTCGAGCTTCGCTCGGTGGTTCGATTACTTCCATCGAATTTGCAGCGAGACTTTTGCTCGCTTAACTGCCGACCGACTCTCCGCGGAGAGAGTTGGAAAAATACGGGGACCGGAAGTTGCCTTCGTAAATCACAAAGTTCGACCCCGGTGCCGGCCAGGCTCGCGGAAAAGTTGACGACGCGCGCTAAACCCGACCCGGAGACTTTTGCAAAATATCTATCGGTCGTCATATTCAAACTTCTCGCGAATTAGGCGTGAGAGAACTTTTGGAATTCGTTCGTCGCCCCATTTTTTCTCTTTGTCCGCGAACTAAGGCTTGAGGACTCATTGATCGGGTCAAACGTCACTCGTGTGCGTTTTATATATTTTATTTACTATCTTTATTGCAACTTTACGATCGGGAACTCTCTGCCAGGGGTTGTAGAACTTTGTCCAAGATTTCGTGGATGATTTGTGCCAAGTACGAGCGAAGGAACGATGCTGATAGAGAAGAATGGCCGGAGGAATAAAGGTGTTTCGAATGGTGTGTTTCAGGTCTCTGTCACCAGGACGCGGTGCACATTACGGCAATCCTGGGGGAGAGCGTTGTCTTCAACTGTCACGTAGAGTTCCCCGGTGAGCACCCAGTGCCCTACGTTCTCCAATGGGAGAAGAAGGTAGGCGACACGGTACGATATCGGACGACACCCTCTGCTCTCTATATCCGTGAGTTAAATACGTGGGCCCCGCTCGAAGAGGAGTCGCGATCTGGTATCAGCGATCGAACGAAAATCGAAATCGAGATCGTGATCGCGAGGATACACGGTCCAGTTATTCATTATTTGGACAACTCTTTCGGTAAAGCTTCAGACTTTACAAGATCGTGACTGCAAACAGTGAGACTTCAGTGTCCACCGTGAAAGTATTCCCCATTGGTAGTCGATGCATCCAGTTTTTTTTCTAAATACATACTCCGAACCGTGCCAAGTCCCCTTCGTATTTCGTTTTCGTTCCGAGGACGAAAAAGTCACGTCCGAATTAAGGAAACGGGGAGTTTTTCATGGTCCCTGAAAGGAAGACGAAGATCAAAGGGCGGAGATTTGGCACAGTTGAAGAGAGCCAGGAAGGGACGAGTACCGAAAAGGACTTTAAGGAGTTCCGACAATGGCGGAATCGCCAAAGGAACTGCTTCTAGAGTAATAGTAGCCACTGAAGTCTCAAATTAGCCGCTTTTCGCGATCGTGCTTTAGACGAAAAAATATTTCTCGAGGTCCCCGTTTGTTTCTACACCAAGGATACATTATTTTTTGCCGATGGTCGCCGATGCGCGAGAGGGCGGAACGGGTCGATTACGAATAACAAGTTGAAATCGTGACGCGCGACTCCACCCGATTTGAGAATATTTCGGGCTGATCGAATTGGAAATCCACCGAAATCGTCGACTTGGTTCGCTGCCGCGGCTTCTTTTTAATTTCCCCCGGTCGAACGTTGCGTAATCGAGAACTGGAGCGTGAAACCGGCCGGCGGGTGGAGGCGACAGAAAGAGTCTAGCGTACGGATGAATGGTGCTCTCGTGTGAGCCGCGCGATCGAATCTTCCGCCCTCCCGACGCCCACCGCTTCGCCTGCTCCATCCTCCCCCTCCCCCCTCCCTCCTTCGCGTCGTTGCTCTTTTTATCGTTTCCTCTGCCAGCGACAGACACGGTCACTGGCCGACCTGCGCGGCGATGTGTCTATTTACGAGTGCCCCTCTTCGCTACAGACCGTTTCAATTTTTAAAACCGCGACAACGTATCCTGGCCTTTTGGCGCGGCCGCGTTTCCCGTGTTACGCATCGTTCGCGATGAAAGATTCTAATCGTCCGCTGTTGTGTCAGAAACGTTCGATCCGTCTGTCCTTTGAAGCTGGATAGCGACGGCCAATCGTAATCGACTCGGGGGCTTTCAGTCACGAATTTCCACCGAAAAATAAACATTTATTTTTTTTTAGACTGATTCCTCGTCGGGAAAACGAAGCATAAATTGTAGAACAAACTCTTTTTCGCGAGGCTTCGTTTTCTAGAAAATTGGTTTAGATTTTTATTAAATTCGTATAAAAAATAAAAATTTAGTGATTTTTTTTTTATTAGACTTATTCTTCGTGAAAAGAGGAAGCGAAAATGTAGGAGGAAGTTTTTTCGTACGGGGCTTCGTCTTCGAGAAAATTGATAATGAATTCTGACTTCGCGTCGGACTATGTTTACAGCTCGACTACTGAGATTGACTGTATCTATTAGCATTGGCGTTAGGAAATGTTGATGGCAGTATTATTCGTGTTAGTATCTTGCAATTGGTTGGATTCTAGCGAAATAATATCGTATCAATTCCAATGGAAGTAGATATAAGCGTCAACAGTCAACCGCAGTAGTTTAGACGTACGCATGGTCAGACGTCCCAAATGAATTTTCAAACTCGATTTTCTCGAAAACGGAGGCTGCTATGGAAAAACTTTATTACACATTTTCGACTTAGTTTTCGATGAAGAATAAACCTACGTAATCGTTGCACCAGCCGACGGAGAGAAGACAAGCCCCAGTGAAGAGGTGTCAAATATTTTTTCTTTAAGAACGTTTTCGAATCTCTATTTCTCGTTCAACGTTTCGACTATAGTTTGAGGACCTCTTCGCGTAAAATTGTATGGAAAGCAAGGCTTGTTCTGAGAGTTTTGGAGGGCAGTGTAGGGCCTCCAGGTGCGCTGGTCTCTTCATCCGGTCGCTGGCGGTGAAATCCGCCGGCGTAGGATTTATGGTCGCCAGGCCCGGAGAGTCGAAACGGGCTCGATGGCGATACTCGATCGTTAAAACGACGCGGTAGCCTCGGGTCGGGTGGTTTACTCGTTCGCGTGGGCGCGTCCTGCGCGGGATCGCGTCGTTTTATCGCGACGAGTGCTACGGAAACACGCTGATACCAGAAGCGAGGCGAACGGGGGACGACCGAGCGGGGCCCCGTGGGCACACATTACGTTCTTAAAGCATTGCAATGATTGTCGACGATACTGTGAATTGGCTTACGTATTGTTTATTCGACGATTTGTACGCTTCAGTGCTTTTACGTTACATTTTTTTTTTTGTTTTTCGTTCGCGTTTTGTACAATCCTCGTTTTCGGTTGGAATCGGCGGCGAACGGGACACGCCTCTCGTTCCCATCCGGAACGACTAACATATTTCGTTGGCTTCCCGCTCGCGTAGCGTACAGTAACTATTATGTACAACAGTTGTTTCCACGATATACATATATATATATATGTATATATATATATCTATTTTGTATACGTATGTATCTGATCCGGACTGGAGAGGGCAGAGCACGTTTTTCTACGTCGATCAACGAAGTCATCCGATCACACGTTCTCTCAGCCAGCAACGTTTCCTTCCGATTCGATCGATTCACTCGCGCCTACGGTTTCTCCCTCATTCACGCTCTGAACCCATCGTCACGTCATCGTTCACCCTCTGCAACCCAAATCGTATCGATTTTAAAACAAATTCATACGAACCGTCGATGAATTTCGATTTATTACAAGCTGTATACAGATTGTTCGTAAATCCAGATGATATTCAGCGGTTACGGAGGGTGAAACGTCAGCGAGGGGTGCAACGTTCGCAGCGTCGCTGGACCATTTCGTTCGAATTAATCGACCGCGATTCCGAATGGAAATTTCCATCGATCCCAAACCGTCTTCGTTTCTTCTCGACGCTGCGATCCAAGTGCCCTTCCACTCCCCCTCCTACCGGGTCCCTTTTGACGCGGGGGAGTTCGTTGCACCGTTTCGAGAGAGAGAAACGCCAGTTTCTCATCTCGCGTTCGTCTAACCTACCTAACGATCGACAACAATTTTTCTCTCTCCTCTACGCTCCCCATGGCAATCTATGAGATCTGTAAGAACGTTTCTAAATGTCTAGAAAAATCTCGCTCCGAGGAGCGTTCACACGTTATCGTCCTCTCGATCGGTGAGCTCCATCGGATCCATAATGTTCCTCACAAACTTTTATTCGTTGCTTGAATTTCTTCGCCAAGTCGAAAATGAGAAGCGTCTATCCATTGCTTCCAAATTAAAAATCAAATTATATACTCAACCTATTGCTAGATAAAACCGAGTAAAATTTAACAAAACGTCAGAAGGTTCACCCTAGTGCTTTCATATCGTTATTCTACGCATTGTAACATACATTTTTCAGTGTTTCTCTGACAGTTGAATACATCACAGTAGTTAATTTAACCCTTAAATGGTCCATAAATGGTCCTTAAATTAAGTGTTTCATTTTCGAGACACTACGCATCGAAGGGTTAAAAGCTTATTTTTGGTCTAAATGCACACCACTCGTGTAGGAAAGTTGCAATAAAAATGCCCTATCGTTAACGTGTTGACAAATAATTCGAGTCTTTATCAGAGATCGTACAATCGAGCTCGCCGATCGCGTGGAGGGTGACTTCCGGGGTAGTGCACTTCCCCTTCCTCTCGGAGGCGGAAAATCAGAAAATCACGTCTCTGTCTCTCTAACCTCTGGTGCTTTTTGCATGAGACGCGGGCGCTGGCGGCTCCGCGGATCCTCGGGAGGGACGACGACGCGATTATTCGCGACCTCTGACCCACGCTCGCGAATTCCCCTCGCGCGTACACGCGTGGAAGTTTTAATCAACGTGGTCCCTGCCGGCGATCCCAGAGCTCGCACGCGAGCACGACCGCGAACCTAACACGCCACAAGACGAATGGTCTCTAGTATCGTCGGCGCCCCATTACAAAATAATAGCTGTGCCCGGCGATGCTTTATCTCGTTGTCGTTGCGAGACAGTCGCGATCTGCATGCCTCCCGCCTCCCCTAACTTCCTGAGGGCTAATCCACGTGTCACGTGCGAGCGTACGATGCGTCGCGACGCGTCCCGATACGCCTCGTGGCCGGACCCTTCGATCCTCGATAGAATTTCCACTTCGTCGGGGTCTCAAAAAGCCACGAAATGTTCAAACTTTGATTAAATTCGCATAAAAAATAAAAATCTGGTGATTTCTTTTTGGTAGACTTATTCTTCGTGAAAAGAGGAAGCGAAAATGTAGGAGGAAGTTTTTTCGTACGGGGCTTCGTTTTCGAGAAAATTGACAATGAATTCTGACTTCGCGTCGGACTATGTTTACAGCTCGACTACTGAGATTTACTGTTCCTATTGGTATTGGCGTTAGGAAATGTTGATGGCAGTATTATTCACGTTAGTATCTTGCAATTGATTGGATTCTAGCGAAATAATATCGTATCGACGCCAATGGAAGTAGATATAAGCGTCAACAGTCAACCGCAGTAGTTTAGTCGTACGCATGGTCAGACGTTCCAAATGAATTTTCAAACTCGATTTTCTCGAAAACGGAGGCTGGTATGAAAAAACTTTATTACACCTTTTCGACTTAGTTTTCGATGGAGAATAAGCCTACGTAATCGTTGCACCGGTAGATTAAATAATATCTATATTATTAAACATCGAGTCAAATATTTTGATTCTCTTCATCCACCCGTGAAATAAAATAGAGAATCTTAATTGTCGATCTATTGTTACTCGTGTTGGGGTCTCGACACCCGATTTTCGTAGAATTTGGCGGGTTCGAGCGCGTGAGTTTTCCAGCGGCAAACAAAACGCGAGGCGAGTTCGTCGCGCCTAGCTTCA